CAAAAAATCCTAAAACTATAGTAGAGGCAAATGTATTACCCTTAATGAAACAGATTAATGAACAACCTAAACAGCTTAAAAACTCACAAATATCATGGCTTGGTAGAAATAAAGTTATTAAAGCATACATCTTCCCAAAATAGTTATACATTTTTCGCATGATCCCCTTAAAAATACCAAAATGGTTGACATTGATCCAATCATCTTTTAACAAATGTATATTGAAAGCAAAAAAAAAAAAAAAACTAAATACATTTGGAAACATTATCACTAAAATATAAAGATGGTGGATTGGGTCTTCCAAATATCTTTCAAGCAAATGAAGCTTGTAGAATAAATCACATTAGTAATACTTTAAGGAATGAGACAATAAAAGAATCATTGTACCAAATAGAAGTAGCCATTGTACAAACAGATGATATAAAAATGATTCTGGAATATAAATTAATAACAGGTGAAAAAGAAGATAAAACGGGGGGCGTGGCCGACCGTCGGAAGTGATGGACGCACACTAAGCGAGCTCCGCGATCACGGGCTCGAAAACGCGGCTAAAACAACCCTTACCGGGTGCATCCCCTGCCCACCAACGCTCACATAATGTCCCAGCACCGGACGAAAAAGGCTACGGAGGCAAAAGAAAAAAACGCCTTCTTCACAGCCCGCACGCCGCAGCATAAGACCGCCGACCCCCAGATCCAAGATGGCGCCGGCCAAGAATATGAAATGGAAAGAGACGAAATAGTAAGCAGACAAGAAGACTGCCCCCTGACCCAAAATCTCCTGCAAACTATGTTAGATGCAGCAGTCACCAAAATGCAAACTGCTGTCACCAATGCCTTAAATGACATAAGAAAAGGCTTAAATGAGATAGAAGCCAGGACCTCCCACCTGGAGGACAGCGTGGAAAGCCTCACTGGGGCCTGTAATGCTGCTGACACCCGCCTCAGTATACTAGAAGAACAAATGCACAGACAAGAGACCAAAATGGCGGATGCCGAAGACAGATCACGCCGCAACAATATACGGCTGAGAGGGGTACCAGAGGATATTGCACCGCAAAATCTCACAGCCTACGCTGTGGAGCTTTTCCACGCCTTACTGCCTGATATCCCCGCAGAAATGTTTCTACTAGACCGCATCCACAGACTCCCCAAGCCTCAACACCTACCGCTTTCCACTCCGAGAGATGTCCTTATGAGACTCCACTACTACCACATCAAAGAACAGATCCTGAGGGCACACTGCACCAAAAAGGACTTACCTACCCAATTCAAAGATATACTCCTGTTCATGGACCTATCAGCAGAGACACTGCGCCGCAGACGATCCTTCAAGGCCGTGGCAGACACGCTGAGGCAAAACCGAGTGCCATACAGATGGGGCTACCCAGCCAAGCTGCTCATAACAAAGGGAGGGAAAATCATCCCGGCTGCTACACCGACGGAAGGACTGAATCTCCTGAATCCCACAACACACAGCCAAACCCCAGAAACCCCGGTAAACAGCTACCCGACGACTGCCGGCCCCAGAAGACGAGACGCACTTCTCCGAGAGAGGACTGACCGCACCCGATAAGAAACAGCAAGTTTGCAATATGTTTGCATTGTTACCTAAATGCTATAACCTAGATTATATCGTTTGTTAATGTCATGTTAAATACTAATTGACACCCTTATGATATGCCCTTGAATAACTCCCCTTGATGAAGGGAGCGGCATTGAACACGCCGCCGCACTAGGCCTAACCTAACAACACCGCCCTGCTTACATAGGGTGCACATCCCTCTCTTTTCCTTTACTAGTTTGGCGGCCGTCCCTTGCGGACACAGCCTCCTCTAAAAAACCACTTAAGCCCTATTATACCCACAGCGGTGCTGTACGCTCCAACCATTACACACCAACCTTTCAGGCAGGGGGGATGCCCCGGAATCACATAGGGCCCGTAGCGATCTACGCTCAAACCGAACCGCCCACACTACCCCCACCTAGGAAGTGCCATAGCGAAGGCACACCCTTTAAGACACCTTGTACGATACTTTCTTTGTTTACTGTTTAACCGTTTATATTTTTATTTTTTGTTATTTGATTATTCTGTGCTGGAAAAGTTGATTGATTTCCTAGTTGCACCTAGCTCCTACCAGTCCGTGAACACTCGTTGCTGAACCACACGGTCGCCCACGCCGGGCGAGCTGACCAACTCCTCGACTCCCCAAGACTGAGACTGTTTCCCTTCACGCCTCCACACCACTTAACTGCCCCACACGACTACCTCATATTATCCACACACACAAGATACACCACCCACGAAAAATGAAGTTACTTACCCACAACGTAAGGGGTCTCAACTTACCCAACAAACGCCACACCCTCCTTAAAGAACTAAATAACGCGCACGCAGACATCGTCTGCTTACAGGAGACCCACTTTAAACAGGACTCCAACCCCGTCCTGGGTCTCAAATCCTATCCACACCAGTTTCATTCCACCTCCCCAACCAAAAGCAAAGGTGTAACGATACTGATAAGCCACTCTATAGCCTTTGACCTAATCTCAATCGACTCTGATCCGAAAGGTCGTTACATCATCCTAATTTGCACCCTAAATAACTCAACGTACACGATAGTGAACTTCTACTCACCAAATGAAAACCAAGGGACCTACCTAGCCCATCTGCTTGACAAAGTTGAGAAAACCCAAACGGGCACCACAGTCATTTGCGGTGACTACAATCACATACTAGACCCGGATACAGACTCCACAGTCCGACACTCATCGTCACGTAAAAAATCATTACACAAAAGCTGCAACTCCATAAACAAACTCCTGTCTGCACATGGACTATACGACATATGGAGGATTCTCCACCCCACTAACAAGGAATACACCCACTACTCCCAAGTACATAATACCTACTCTCGGATAGATGGGTTCCTCCTGCGCTCCGCGCACCTCCAACTAATACGAGCGTGTGACATAGAAACATCTACGATCTCGGACCACAATCCGGTGTCACTGGTACCAATTCAAACACCGCAACCCCTGGAGAATGAACGAACATCTCCTTAACGAACCCTCTTTCCTAAAACAAGTAAGAGACAAAATAACTTCATATTTCACAACCAATAGCCCTGCAGACACGACCCCGGCCACCCGGTGGCTAGCCCACAAAGCTTTCGTTAGAGGCATCCTGATAAGTAGAGCAGCCCATCTTAAAAAAATGAACTACTCCTCAATGCTTTCACTCCTTAAGAAGCTCCAAGACCTCCATAGATCGAACCAAGCAAGCCCCAAAAAAGCACTCCAGCAGCAAATTCAATCCACGCAAGACGAAATTAACACCATACACCTCCGCAAGGCAACGGCTGCACTGAAAACCCTAAAAGCCACATCCTACTCAATGGGCAACAAAGCTACAAAAACACTGGCGCACAGACTTAGGGACCAACAGGCGCAAACTAGAATACAATACATAAAAACACACACTGGTCACAAAGTACTGCAACCCTCACACATATGCAACGAATTCGCCCACTACTATGGTTCTCTATACAACTTGAAAGACGACCAGAATGCGCCCAGACCCTCACCGACATCCATTAGGTCTTACCTCAACAAACTCGCACTCCCCACTATAAACGCACATCAAGCGACACAGCTCAGTGCCCAAATCACCTTAGAAGAAGTCCTTCTCCACATTGAGGCACTGCCCAGGGGTAAAGCGCCAGGCCCAGATGGGTACACAAACACGTACTACAAGACATTCAAAAACGAACTTGCCCCCTCCCTTACCCATTTTTTCAACGAAGCAACTAACCAGAGCTCCTTCCCCACCGAGTTCCTGGCTGCCCACGTAATTACGATACCCAAACCAGGCAAGACCCCTACTGTGTGCCAAAATTTCAGACCTATCTCTCTGCTCAACGCAGACGCTAAACTCTACGCGAAAATCCATGCTGACCGACTTAAAGCAATACTACCCTCCCTCATACACACAGACCAGGTAGGTTTCGTGGCGGGCAGACATGGCCCAGATAATACCAGAAAGGTCCTGAACCTACACCATCTCCTAAAACACACCAACACCGAGAGCATTATGCTATCACTTGACGCCGAAAAGGCGTTCGATCGCCTCAACTGGCACTTTTTACACGAAGCCATGGCCCTCTACGGCTTCCCTCCGACCTTCCTGTCAGTTATACAGGCTTTATACAGCAACCCCACAGCGACAGTCCTGACCTCGGGGTTCTGCTCGCAACCCTTCCCGATAACCAATGGCACCCGCCAAGGTTGCCCACTGTCTCCCCTCCTATACGTCCTGGCCCTAGAACCCCTGGCCATAGCCATCCGCGAGAACAATAACATACATGGAGTCCCACTTGGCCAACAGGAATATAAGCTCAATCTATTCGCAGATGACATACTACTCACACTCACCCAACCACTCATTTCCCTTCCCTCCCTAGACAAAGAACTACACGCATACAGCCAACAATCCTACTACAAACTCAACATCACCAAAACACAAGCAATGTGCCTCAACATGCCCAGAACCACTGAAAATGTCCTTAAAGCGACACTCGAGTATGATTGGAGAACAGACTTTCTAACGTTCTTAGGCATCAAGATTACCAACAAATACACCGATCTCTTTATAGCGAACTACGCAAAACTACAAAAGGAAATTGAACAACTACTTCGTAGATGGGCAAATCTATTCCTATCATGGGTCGGAAAGATAGCTGCTATCAAAATGACAGTACTCCCTAAACTCTTATATCTCTTTCGGTCCTTGCCAATTAAGATCCCACAGAACTACCTGACAAAAATGCAAGCAATCCTCCTCCGTTTCTGCTGGAGTGGAAAACACCCCAGAGTACCTAAAGCCCTGCTCTTTAGACACGTTCGACAAGGGGGAATGGGTTTCCCTAACTTAAAATTATACCACCAAGCAGCCCTACTCACCAATGTCATTAACGCTCATACCACGAAACAACCCCCGCAATGGGTAGCGATGGAAAGTCTACTCTGCACAAACCACGATCTCTCATCCACCTTATGGTCCCCCAAACATACAAGACCGAAAAGCCCGGACCTGCTGCCTACCACCAGGCTCTTAATATCCACATGGGATACCTGCAGAGAAAACCTATGCTCAGCGCATCCATGGGCTCTAGCAGCCCCAACCAAAACACTACACCACTGCAATGGCACGTTCCCTCACCACAAATGGGAAGAAAAAGGCATCACACACATGTATCACCTCTACACGCCCGAAGGCCTGAAACACTTCCCAGACCACCAAGCCGAATTTACACTCCCATCAAATTTCACATTCTCATACCTTCAATTAAAGGCCTTACTGCAAAACAACACGATCCACAGCAGAAAACCGACCTTACAGACCACAGCGACGAAGTTCGAAATGCACTGCATGGCAGCATCACCCCCTAAAAAAGCGCTCTCCACCTGCTATAACGAACTAACAAACCTCAAAACGGAAAGCACTTGGAAATTTATGAAAGATTGGCAGGAGGACCTCCAAGAAACGATCTCCCATCAAGAATGGAAGAAAATCTTCACAGCACATGAAGGAATGTCCTCCTGCGCAGCCCACTTTGAAACTTCGCGTAAACTGCTATATAGATGGTATATGGTACCCGCACGACTACACTCCATGTACCCAGGTTCGTCAGACATATGCTGGCGATGCAACTCTCACAGAGGCACGATGCTACATATATGGTGGTCCTGCCGCACGGTAAACGAACTGTGGAAGAAGACTGAACAAATGATTCAAGACATTACGGAATATCCCCTGCCTCACGAGCCCAAAGCGATTCTCCTGCGATCACTACCTGAAGCTATCCCCAAACCAGCAAAAAAAATGATAATCCTTATACTGAGCACAGTCTCCACCCTAATAGCCAGAAACTGGAAGACCTCAAATCTCCCCTCAACCCAGGAAATCACCGCCTTGATGTCAACAACAGTGGACTACGAACTCCGAATGTGGCACCTACTGAAAATCGGAAAGTTGAGCCCAGCCATCGCCGAGATGTAGCAAACCTACCTTTCAACGAGGATCCCACCAACACAACCCCCTTAGCCTAATGCGAAGAGAGGCAAAAAAGAGATAGACCACACGATCCTCTCCCTGCTGGGAGCAGCAACCCTGCCCGCTGCCCACCCAATACACCTCTAACATCCACGTCTATACACGACCTGAGACACACCTCCCCTCCCCCTGACGCTCCCGACGGATATCGACCACATTGGGGCTACACTGCCTCTGGCACCAAGCTCTCAACCCTCACCCCCACCTTCCACCCCCCAATCTCACCCTCACTCTCACCCTCCAACCTTGACTAAAAGCCTTATAAAAGTACAAGTCATTACGCACCTGGAAGATTAGGTGTACACTCAGTATGGGAAATTAATGATAAAAACCACCACTGGTGTGCATATGGAGCGCTTACAAATTTGTTGACTCACCCATATGGGTTAACATACATATGTATGGAAAACGTGACTCATAGCGATATATCTGAAACAAATGTAAATGCAAGAAATAGTGCAGATAACGTTTTCAATAAGTGCAGTGAGGGAATATTCTATATGGTCTCACTCACATGTAGCAGAGCCCTATAGGATAGGCTCAGATCTCAATGGCCTGCGTGTGCTTATGGTGACACAGTACCCAATCGGTCCTCTAGGCGTCTGGAGATCCTTATGCATACATGAGAGAGAGAGAGAGAGAACAAGGGGAAGAGGAGAACCCCTAGTGCGGTCAATCCCAATGTACAATGTCAAATAGTGCAGAAAAAATGGCTTCTCACCTGATGTGGAGCCCTATACCTGGCTCCTGGTGTGTAGGTGTCTGTGCCTTTAAGGGGGCAACTACCCTTCTTTAAGCAGCAACAATGGAGGGTGGATTCCAAATATAAAACAAAATTTATTAAATAAAGTAGTAAAAACTTACAAGTAAAATATAAACAAAATTGTGAGAAATTATAAAATGTGGAATCTTCAATCCTCCAGCCGAAACATGTTTCACTGTACCCAGACAGCTTTTTCAATCGGTAATATAGTTGCTGCTGTTACTTGTTTAAATACTTTGTACTTCCTCCTGTGTGGTCCTTCAAACTTCCCTCCCTCCAATCCGCTGGCGTCCTTTTTCATGAACAGCTGTGCTGTGTTAGTAATGAGTATGCTCCGGTCTCGGAACAAGTCATGTGACCCGAAGCATCACGTGCCGCATCACAAATTGGGCGTGTTTTCAATGTAGGGCTCACAGTTCCATATCGTCCATTTTTAAGTTGGGCAAAATGCCCTTCCTTCAACCAAGTCCGTTCCTATTTACAAGCCAGGTGCTCAATTAGAGCGATATATAAACGAAAAAATGAAGGGAGAAAGGGGGATAGTATTATTGTATATTGCTTACAAGTTAATTCATAAAATTTACATATCAAAAAAAAAAAAAAAACGTTATCTGCACTATTTCTTGCATTTACATTTGTTTCAGATATATCGCTATGAGTCACGTTTTCCATACATATGTATGTTAACCCATATGGGTGAGTCAACAAATTTGTAAGCGCTCCATATGCACACCAGTGGTGGTTTTTATCATTAATTTCCCATACTGAGTGTACACCTAATCTTTTTTGTACTAATCTATAGGGTAGAGAGTCCCTATTTGTGTGGTAGCTGCTGTCATTTTACTCAATTATTAACTGAAAGCGCCTTGAAAACACACATTCTTATTTCTGTGAACTTTCTTTAATACTCTTTTATTGTGTGTGTGCAGCTTGTAAACAATATGTCATTGTTTGAAAATAGATCAAAATATGGGAAAAACATAGATGCACTATTTGGGGACCAGGAAAACCCTATAAATTCAGACCATTGTAATGATTTGGATATAAAAAAACAAATTAGGAACTCAAGATACAGGTTGGAAAAACTCTGGGGAGGGAAATTAAGATTCAGTGGGAAATAGCCACTATGGAGAAGTATAGAAGGGAGGAGATCACGCCAAGGGGTCTTAGATTCGCAAAGAATCCTTCCTTCGATCAGGAGGAGGAGGACTTCATTAAGGAGTGGTCGGATCTCTTGGAAAGCTTCTCCTTTGGGCTAATAGATCTCATTATAAAAAGAAGAAAGGAAACATTGATTAAATTAGATACTGAAATACCCTAAAAGCGTTTTTGACTATAAACATGCCCCCAGAACAATACACCAATACCTTAGAGGAAATCCAAATAAATTTGGAGAAACTTGAGAAAGGGGTGATAGAAATTAAAAAAAGAAAATATTTAAGAGATAAAACTGATTACGCAAGGGGTGAAGTCAGAACTTTTTTTAAGAACAACCATAATCACCGAGATAGATATGATGCCACAAGAGACGAGAGATATGAGGATAGATATAAAATCAAACAGTATTATCGCAATGAGGGAAGCCCAAGCAGACCTAACAGATTACTAAAACAGACTACGACACCAATTCGTAGAAAACTAACACCTAAATGGAGACATCTATCTAGAGGAGGTAAAAGAGGAACACCAAATAGAAACCTTAGGGAAGATAAGAGATCACCAAAACCAGTGGGAATACCCACACATAGAGAACAGATCCCCACGAGGTATGGAAATGTATCTAGGGATACAAAAGGGACACCAGATAGGCACTCTAGGGAGATAAAAAGATCACCAGAACCAGTGGTAAGGAGGAAAATACAGACTAGTAGGAGCGATCAGCATCCGGTAGAAAGAATACCAAGGGGGATAAATAATAGAACTGATTGGGATAAAAAGAAAAAAATCCCTACTTATAACAGATTTAATGCCCTCAACACTCAACACAAAGAGGAGGATTTTTGTGGAGACTACATGAAGGGCAGATACAAGGACAACAGACTAGGCTGGGGAACCCCAGGAAAAAGAGGACGGAGTATAGAGGACGGGGAACTAGAGGAGGAATTCTTTTACAAAAAAGGAAAAAAAGTCAGAGAATAAAGGGAAAAGGTATTTTTAATTTATCATCAAAAACACTTACTAATCCCCAAATAAATCTACTTGAAAAGGGACTTAAATTTGCGCCCACAAAAGCACTTGATAAGTTCAGTATCTATGTAGATCTTAACAGATTCAAAAGGAAAATGTGTTTGAAAAAATTCTTCCTAAAAAATCCAATCACTAGGCCAGAAGTACCCATAGAAAGGTCGGAGGCTGTGCACACTGAACTTAAAGCAAAATCTTCATTCTATCATAGGTTCTGTATCTCAGAAGAGATGTCAACCTTTGAAAAGATGGTGATGAAGGATATAGAAAAGATTAAAAAACCAAATCAAAAACAATTCAACCTTAATTATGGGGAAAGACAGGCATTGAAGGAATTAAGGCAGGACAATTCATTGGTAATTAAACCAGCAGATAAGGGTGGGGGTATAGTCATTTTGGACAGTGAAGACTATGTAAAAGAAGCCCTTAGACTCTTAGGAGACGACAAGACATATAGAATCTTGACGAAAGATCCAACTAGCGATATAAAAATCACATATGACACTCTCATAGAGGAGGGAAAAGAACATAACATTCTAAATGAAAAAGAGTATGCGTTTCTAAACATGACACAACCTATAATACCGGTCTTTTACCACCTCCCCAAAATCCATAAAGATAGGATAAAACCTCCAGGGAGACCTGTTGTATCTGGGATTGGGTCTATTTCCAGCAGACTATCCCAGTACGTAGATAGGTGTCTCCAACCAGTGGTTACCAAATGTCCTAGTTACCTGAAGGACACCTCCAATATCCTCCAAGTTTTAACAGATCATAAGTGGAAGGAAAATAGCTTTTTGGTGACAGCTGACGTTAGTTCGCTGTACACCATTATTTCTCACGATAAAGGGTGTCAAGCGACAGAACATTTTTTACAGCAGTCAGGAACATTTCCAAGTGGACAAATTGATTTTTTAGTTAAAAGTATCAGATGGATACTGAATAACAATTATTTTTGGTTTAACGATCTTTTCTACTTACAGATATGTGGAACTGCGATGGGCACGAGGTTCGCGCCAAGCTATGCAAATTTATTCATGGCTTTGTGGGAACAAGAATTTATTTACCAAGATGGTAGTTGGAGCGCGAACCTCGTTGCCTATCGCCGTTACATAGACGACATATTTTTCATTTGGCAAGGGGACGAGACATCCCTGATATCTTTTTTGGACCATCTGAATAATAACGATTGGGGAATTAAATTAGTCTCGAATTATAGCAAGATTCTAGTGGAATTTCTGGACCTCCAAATTTATGTTGAGGATGCATGTTTGAAGACATGTACTTTTTTCAAACCTGTGGATGTTAACAGCTACATTGGGGAGAATAGCTGCCATTTCTCCCCATGGTTGCTGAATGCACCCAAAGCGCAACTGCTCAGGATAAGGAGGAATTGCACGGAGGAATGTAAATTCCAAGAACAATCCCACAAAATTCTGAAAGATTTTAGAGAAAAGGGATATAACAAGACATTGTTGGGGAAAGCCCTTGAAGAAGTTAAAATAAAGGACAGAAAAGATCTAATTAAATATAACACTAAAAATAAAGTTGAACCACAAACAATAGGACTTATATGTGACTTTAACTGTAAAAGTAAAGAATTTATAAAAATAGTTTCAAAGTATTGGCCAATTTTAAGAAATGACCCCCTCCTTAATAGTATTCTTCCGGAGAAGCCTAAGATTGTTTATAGAGGAGTAAAGAATTTAAGAAACACTTTAACATCTAACCATATACCCCTAAAAAGATGTAATAGGGACTTTTTCAACGAAACAAAAGGGTTTTATGGTTGTGGACACTGTGGTGCGTGCAAGAACTCAAAAAGTAAGAAGAGACTAGTAAAAGAATTCTCACACCCTCAAAATAAAAAAGTCATGTTTAAGATCAACGAGCTAATTACTTGTCAGTCCACGAGAGTTATTTATCTCTTGATATGCCCATGTGGACTTGTATATGTAGGGCGCACCAAAAGAAAGTTGCACATTAGAGTACAGGAACACATTAGGAACATTAGGAACAACTATGAAAAGCACAGTGTCTCCTTACATTTTAAAAATAAACATAATAGCGATCCCACCCAGTTAGAATTCCATGCAATTCAGAGGGTATCACCCGATTGGAGAGGGGGAGATTTTATAAAAAAATTAGGCCAAAGGGAGATGCAATGGATTTTTAACCTGAATACCATGCAGCCTAATGGTCTCAATGATGATTTTGAGTTATGCCATTTTTTAACTTAAATTATTTTTTTATTAGTATGTTTCATACATTTTAAATATTTGCTCTATGGCCATACCAGTCTGAAAATGCTTGATCTCGTCAGATCTCAGAAGCCATCCAGGCTTAGGCCTGGTTAGTACTTGTATGGGAGACCAGCTAGGAACCTACTATATATTTATATGTTTTTTATATATATATTTTAATATTGATATCATCATTGAAGATAAGCTGCTGACACAATTGAGACCTATTCAATAATAATCAGCATTTCTCCTAAAAGAGCACACTCCTATTCACCACCTATCTTTATGCATGTACTGTCACTTTGAATGAAAAACATTAGATGTTTTTATTTTTTTTGATATGTAAATTTTATGAATTAACTTGTAAGCAATATACAATAATACTATCCCCCTTTCTCCCTTCATTTTTCCGTTTATATATCGCTCAAATTGAGCACCTGGCTTGTAAATAGGAACGGACTTGGTTGAAGGAAGGGCATTTTGCCCAACTTAAAAATGGACGATATGGAACTGTGAGCCCTACATTGAAAACACGCCCAATTTGTGATGCGGCACGTGATGCTTCGGGTCACATGACTTGTTCCGAGACCGGAGCATACTCATTACTAACACAGCACAGCTGTTCATGAAAAAGGACGCCAGCAGATTGGAGGGAGGGAAGTTTGAAGGACCACACAGGAGGAAGTACAAAGTATTTAAACAAGTAACAGCAGCAACTATATTACCGATTGAAAAAGCTGTCTGGGTACAGTGAAACATGTTTCGGCTGGAGGATTGAAGATTCCACATTTTATAATTTCTCACAATTT